TCTCTCTCTCTCTCTCTCTCTCTCTCTCTCTCTCTCTCTCTCTCTCTCTTTCTCTCAGTGTGTGTGTGTGTGTGTGTGTGTGTGTGTGTGTGTGTGTATCAGCTGAATCATCTCCTTGGCCTCTACCTGAGATTTTATTTAGAAAGCACAGTCACAGCTCCGATAATGTAGCCATGAACTCCAGATATCATTCGTATGCCTTCCTGTCTGGTCTGGATTGGTTTGTGCATATCTACCGTAAAAATCATTAGAGTGGCCATCCCCAGCATAGCTGTGTGCTGTTTCCCTGCTCTCCAAAAAAGAAACAGGTTTGGGGTGATTGACTCTCTTGTGCCAGACAGAGTCCCTCATCCTTACAGAAAGACTGCTCGACTGCCAAAGAGCCAGGGACTGCCTTAGAAATCTCTTCAGTGATGACTCTTAAAGTGGTCGGGATGCACAGGCTTGACCACCACGAAATTTCGCTTCTTCCGGGGTCAGAATGGGAGAATAATGCTTGTCATCCTTGTTCTGCTTCAGGGGGGAACAAAGATGCTGGTTTCTGCTGCTCTGCACAAAAGGGGTTCACGAACGAAATGCTTGTTTGTTTACATCGCTGTACTATTTCACTTCTGGAATCTTCCTAGGCACTGAAGCACAGAATGGCCCATGTAGACCAGAGATTGCAAACCGGAGTCCATTCTCAGGCTCACAGCCCGCAGAGCATTTTCTTTGTCTTCTAGCTGCCAGGCAGCATTTGAGAAGTCCAACATCTCAGTTATAGACAGAGCTTGCCAGGTTTCATAAAAATTGCATATTATAGTAAAAGTGAGTGCACATTCCTGTGCACACTGTGAAGAAGGGTGCACGGGCCTCCCAGCCTATGGACCACCATTCTACACCTTCATACTTTACTGAGGGAGGAGGGAAAGAGGGGCGGAGGGAAGGAGGGAAGGACAGATAAAGAGACAGAGGCAGAAAGATGGAGAGAGAGTGTATGGTGATTACTCAAACATGCCATAGATGGTGAAGTATTCATGCCAGTTTGTAGTGGGCCACACCCCAGTCTCAGCACTCAAATCTACATAGGCCCCAGGGCAGAACCTGAAAGCCACTCTTTGTGAAACCCCAACACCCCAGAATGTAGTCTCTTTCATGCCTAGGGGTCCCCTCCTCTTCTCCAGTCTAGGCAAAGACTTTTGGATAAAGGAAAGGATTGAAATCCACTGAAACTTTTCACAGATTTAAGAGGGGGGAGAAAAACAAACCCAAAAACTTGATTGCAAGCAGGAGTCCAACTCATTAGCTCTGCAGAGTACCCTGGTATTTAGGGAAATCAGGTCGCTGGAGCCACCTGTGTGGATAAGCACAGATATATTTATATTCTAAATGCATTAGGATTTCCAAAATGCAAAAGAAATTCTGCTGTCACAGAGAAACAGCATGGCAGAAAATTCAGCAGCCGGGATTTTAAATAAAACATGCTTTCTCTTCATAATTAATATAACAAGGTTTCCTGGCTTAGGGTTTGGCAAGGATCCCAGGGAAAAACAATGGAGGAGGGGGCTGATATGACATGCTTGTGGTTGACCCAAGAAATAAGTTCCTGGAACACTCTGGGCTGAGAGGGTCCTCCTGGTCCTGGCCCTCCCACACTCTGCCCCTCCCACACCGTGCTCCTCCCACACTTTGCCCCTCCCACACCATGCCTTCCCACACCGTGCTCCTCCCACACTGTGCCCCTCCCACACTATGCCCCCCACCATGCCCCTCTCACATCCTGCCCCTCCCACACCATGCTCCTCCCACATCCTGCCCCTCCCACACCATGCCCCTCCCATGCCGTGCCCCTCCCACACCGTGCTCCTCCCACACCATGCTCCTCCCACACCGTGTCCTCCCACACCCTGCCCCCCCACACCTTTCCCTTCTCACACCGTGCTCCTCCCACACTATGCTCCTCCCACATTATGCCCCTCCCACACCTTTCCCCTCTCACACCGTGCTCCTCCCACACCCTGCCCCTCCCCACTGTGCACCAAGCAATTTGAAAGTAATAATAGCAATAAAATTAATTCATTGACAATGATGTCTCATAATAGTGTTACCAGCCATTTACTGACTTTTCCCACACATTTCTTCTGGTTCAAACTTCCCGGAAAGCCTACCAGGTAGGGCCAGCATCACTCTGATTTCACAGAGAGCAAAGCAAGCTACAGAAATGAGGATAACCTGCACATGGCACCCTGGCAGGTCTGGCAGTTGCTCAAACTCTTCTGCCCACAGCCAGCTCTGTGCTTGTAGCCATGGTGACATAGGTGGTCACTCCAAAGACTACAGGTCTGTTTGATGTGAACCCAGAGGAGTCAGGCCAGAGTGTGGCCTCTCAATTCTGCTTGTGCTGAAGTGTCCACCAAGAGAGGACGTTGTCTCCTCCTGGAGACTTCTCTTCAAAGGCTTAGTCTTGCCAGACAACTAAGTAATTAGACTTCAGTCACGGCTGAGGATACTTCAGAAACTGCCACTGCCTAAGCTGATATCCTAATACTCTTGTTACAGATTCACATTTTACCTACTTCAAAGATTTATTTTTAGTACTTGCGTGTACATGAACGTACATGCGTGTGTGTGCATGATTGTACATGTATTTGTATACATGTACACATGAACATACATGTATATGTACACGCATACATGAGTGTATGTGTGTGCATGGGTATACATGCATTGTGTGCATGAATGTACATGTGTATACATGTGCACATGAGTGTACATGTGTGTTTATACGTGTGTGTGTAAGTATACATGTGTATACTCATGTACATGAGTGTATGTGTGTGCATGAGTGTCCATGCATGTGTGTGTGCATGAGTGTCCATGCATGTGTATAGAAATGAGTGAGTATGCAATGGAGGACAGAGGTTGGTATCAGATATCTCCTTCTGTTCTTTCCATCTTTCTTTTCTGTTCTGTGAAGGATGGAGTTTTGGGACACGTAGCCCAGGCTAGCCCAGAAATCCGAGAGCTCTACCTGCCTCTGCTCCCCGCGTGCTGGAATGAAAGACACACTCTACCTACCACACCAGCTTCCGCCTTGGGTCTCTCTGAATCTGGGGCTCACCTACTCAGTCATGATGGCTGGAGTACATGCTCCAGGGTTCCCCTGTCCCATCCCTCAATAGAGGGACGACAGACACATGCTGCCACACACCTA